CCCCACTTTCTGGTAATCCCATCTGCTACACCCCACCTCTGTGTTACCTCTCCCATAATCAATCCTGTATCTAATCCTTTTGCTGTCCCTCGCTTCAGACGACCCTACTTCAACGCCTCAGTTCTATTCTCGCTTCTTCAGTTCTCTCTTACAAGCCTCAGTGTCGACGAGACCTCGTACGACACCCTCTTCCCCAATCGTCCCTCTCGTACTCAAAAAGTCAAAAAAAGGTCCGGTAACACCTCCAACCCAACTTCCACCTCCTCATTTACCCTCCCTGTCCTCTGACCCTAGTTCTTCCCTCTCACAAGCACATTACAAAGTGCATAGGTTCACCCTCCTCCTCGAAATGTTACCTTCCTCCCCTGTTCCCTCCCAAGTTTCACTCCTCTTCTGCCACCTCCCAGTTCCTGTCTCTTCTGTCCCCTGCCATGGCGCTTCTCGCAGTTCCCTCCAACCTTTTCGCCCCCCCCTACATTGGTACAGTCCAATACAGTCCAAATCTTTACTCATCCTCCCCCTACCCATTCCCAATATTGTCTCCCATCGACAACTCTGAATTCCGAAACACTTGAAGCAATCTCTAAATATATTGTCAAGACCAAACCATCAATGGACACTGATACCACCTTCCGGCACTTTCTCCTCTCGCTCTGCTCCATCGTCGCAACTCCTTTCTCACAGTGCACCGTTCCTTCGCTGCTTGAAACATTTTCCACTGCCCTCTCATGTGGACTTTTTCTAACCCTTCTAGTCCGTAGGAACCTTACCTGCGGATTTTCAAGTTAATCTTTATCATTGCCAAACACGGCCTATTTAACAGTGGAATATCGCGGCCTCAGGGGTAATCGTGGTGAGTCCTTTCAGATGTTACTCTCCCAGTTTGCCCCTGTTGGAGTTTTTGCTTACAGGAAACCAAAATTACTCTCTGCTGTTATTTCTCTCATCTCAGGCTATAATTTTATTGTAATTCTTCAGATCCTTTTCCTGATGGGACCTTTAATGAAAGTGCCCTCTTGGTGCGGAGGGGCCGCACTGATATTCCGTACCTCAGCTATTTGTTCATACTCCGTCTGCATTACACCATCCCGTATCCACTTACATAGGTGGTATACGCTCTGTTCTTTATATCTCCTCCTTCTCGGGCATTATCTATTCCGGATTTTGCCTTCCTTGTTTCGTCATTACCGCCACCGATTCTGTTACTTGGTGATTTTTAATGCCCACCATTTCCTCTGGGGGTCCACTGTGAAACCCGTGGAATTCAGTTAGAGGGCTTTTCTTGGCCACCCTCCCCCTCCATGTTTTTAAATACATGTACTCACACCCATTTTGATCCTCGACTCATACTCTCTCTTTGCATCGATCTCTCAGTTTGCTCTTCCTCCGCCGCATTAGACTACACTTGGTCTTTCTCCCGGACTTACATGACCGTGATCATTTCCCAATCATTCTTACTTCCCCTTTCATATTCGCCACCTCTTCGCACCCCACGCTGGCAATTTATTGGCAAATTGGAAACCTTAACTCCACCTGACTGTTTTTAAAGAGGTTCCTTCTTCGTCCTCCACGATGAGCTTTTACACCTCTTCTCGTCCTCCGTTTTCACCGCAGCTTTCTCATTCTATACCCCAAAAGTTCGGGCAGGCATCTCAGAAATGCGAGCCTTGGTGGTCTCCTGCATGGTGCACGTGCAGTACGTTTGAAACGCCTGCATGGGGCAGGTACCAGGTACAATAGAACCACAGAGCGACTCCTTGATTTTAAACAGAAGCGTGCGATCGCTCGCACGTGTCCCATCCGTGACGCTAAACGCACCTTCTGTCGAGATTAAGTCCTCCACCATCACCTCCGCTTCCTCTATGAGTTGCAGTCTGGAAAAAATAAGAAAACTGAGGTGGTAAATATCCTCCTACCCGGCTCCTGTTCTGGGGTTGCCGGTGTTTGATATAGCAAACCCACTATATGTTGCCATGAAAATTGGCAATCCATCTGGACCGTATTTCTCAACTCCACTATTCCCCTCATATCTTTCCTCAAAGTCACTGGCTAGGAGTTAGCACCCTTGGACTTTCTTCTCTCAGAGAAGAACAGTATAATGTGCCTTTTTACACTTCAAGAACTGAGCAACACTCTCAGCTTGTCGAGCAATCGGCAGCTGGCCCGACGACATTCATATTTCGAAAAAAATGCCACAACATTTACATCAGTCAGCCTTGCAGTCCATTACGCCTTTACAATCTTATTTGGTCACAAGGAGTTCTTCCACATCAGTGAAATCCGCCATCGTATTTTCTCCCCTTTCCGCAAACCAGGCACTACGGGACATGAAACCTCCCACTATCGTCCCATTGCTCTTACCCATGCAGTTTGCAAAGTAATGGAACTTCTAGTAAATAGACTTTGTGTGGGTATTTAGAACACACAACAGTCCTCCACTCGTCAATATGGCCTTTCGTAAGGGACGATCTACCGTAGACCCCTTACAGTGCTTTGGATACGTATGTTCTAATGCCTTTGCGAATAACCACTCAGTTTTATTGCCAAATTTTTTTGACCATTGAGAAGGCAAATGACACAACTTGGAGTATAAATATATAGCCCAAGCCCACTCCTTAGGCCTTCGAGGCAATCTACCATCCTTCTTAAGCACTTTTAACTTACAGGCATTATCGTTTCGGTTAATAATTTCTCTCCCGGACTTGTTACCCAAGCTGAAGGTGCCCCCATGGTGTGTTCTGATCACAACACTTTTTCTCCTGCTATTAATGATTTGGCCTCTAGTCTTCCATCAAATATTTGGTCATCACGCTATGTAGATGACTTCGCTATGCCTGAGGCAGGCGCTGACTGTCACCTCCTTACAGTTCTCTCCAGCATGCAGTCCCGACCGTGGTTTCCAATTGGCCACCACACATGGGTTATTAAATTTTCCAGCACTAAAACCCACCAAATCACTTCACTAGACCGCTCTGTCATCTCCGATTCATCCTTGTACCTCCTATGCTCCCGTATCCCTGAACGTGATACAGTCAATTTTCCAGGGCCTCCTCTGTTGATCGAGGTTATCCTGGAAACCTCACATTTACCTCTCTGAATGGCAACTTGTCACAGCCGGGCTGAAAACCTTCTTAAACCCTAGTGCTCATCTTTCGTGGGGAGCTGATCGTCGAACCGCTCCTTCACCTGCATTCCACCCTTATTATTATCGAAACTTGATTATGGTGACGCAGCTCTATTCAGCTGCCACTCCCGCTACTCTCTCTATCCTTAACCCCATTCAACATCCAAGGATGTACGTTTATGCCTTGGTGCTTTTTCGCTCTTCCCCTGTACGAAAGCCTCTATGCAGATAGCGAACTTTCCATCCTTATCCGATGCCGTGATGCCCATTGCCTGCGGTACTATGTACGCTCTCATGATCTCCGGCAATCCATCCATTTATAGAATGGCACTGATTATTAGTAACATTCTTTATTTGATTCGCCGCCCCTGCTTACTCCGTCCCTTCTCTCTTCGCCTTCATTCGCTCTTGTCTTCACTTCAACTACCACCATTTATGTACATGTACATCTTCACTTTTCCCTACCCCCCTGTGTAAGTTCCAGCTGTTCGAGTCTGTTCTTTCTCCCTCCCTTGCTCGAAAGCCCAACTGTCTGACGTTCGCTTCCCGCTCTCTTTTCTTGACCACTTTCACTCTCATTCTCATGCCATTGCTGTGTACACAGAGGCTGGCTAATTCTTCTGATGCTGTGCGTTAGGAATTCGTCAGCAGTGTTGTTCCGTACAGCTTCGTACGAGGGCATTTACTATCTTAGCTAGTATTTTACTGGCTGAATTATATTGCCATCCTTACAGCACTTAACCTTATGCATCTATTTTTTGCCATGTTGGTCATCATTTGTGGTTGTCTCAACTCCCCTTAGTGCTTTACAGGCCTATACAAAATTTTGAATAACACCTCACCCCTTAGACCTGCCGTATCACAACTTTGGCTACGCCGCATCTTTACAAAGCATAAAGATATTGTTTTTTTTGTTGGGTCCCGGTGGTCTGTACGTACAGGGCAATGAACAGGCAGACACTGCTGCGCGGTCAGCAGTACATGACCTACCAGTTTCTTAATAGAGTATTCCATGTACGGACTAATTTGCTGTAATTATCTTCCCACCTTCACACCCGATGGGGCAACAACTTTGGTCTACAATGGCTTTGCAACAAACTTCAGTCCTAATAAACCGAGTATAGGTTACTGCCGTCTTCTTATCACCCAGTGTCGAGGTTGGAGACTACTCTCTCCCGTCTTCGCATTGGCCATACTCGTCTACACATTGATACTCATGGGAGAGGCTCCTTTCTCCTCTCCTGTGAGAATTGCCAAGCTCCAATTATCAGTCAGCCACAATCTGTTGGACTGCCACTTTATCAAACGAGCACGCAGAATTTACCTCGTCGTCGACTTCGCCCCGCTGCTTCTCTCTTTACCTTCCCTTCTCAGCTGATGGACCCCACCTATCATCCGACTCTCTCATTGGACTTTTATGACAACGACTGACTGCCTTCACAAATTCCCTGATACTTTCAGCCCTTTCTAAACTTGAATCTTTGCAACCCACTACCCCCGTACTATCCCCTGCCCCGCAGTTTTCTGTAACCTGCTGATCATCCCCCCTCCCTTCTGCCATCCAATTCCCTTGCTTCCTTCCCTACCCTGCAGCGCTGTATAGCCCTTGTGGCTTAGCGCTTCTTTTTGATTATAATAATAATAATTCACAACTGAATTTCATCATACAAGGCCAGGAGAAGCTTGATGTTATGATTACCCTTATTGCCTTTAAGCCCTTCCTTCCTGCACCTACTTTGGTGCCTGTCCTTTTCCTTCATGTGTTGTCAAGTGGGCCTTAATTTGTACAGTATTCTGAATCTCATATACACTTTGCATGTAAGGTAATCAAACAATAAAAAAGCTTTACCAGGTTTATTTAATACACACATTGCAGGCACACAGCAAAAAAAAAAAAACTTCATGGCTTGTCCTGGATTGGTCCCAACAGCGAGAAAATGAAGAGAACGAGAAGACAGGTCAGGTGAAGAAATATCCAGGAGACAGGTCACAAGAGGAGGTGAGAAGGTCAGATCAACTCAAGTACATTCTGAAAACTAGAGCACTTGACAATATATTGATCAAGATTGGCAGGCATCAACAGAAACCCTAATGGGACCAAGATACAAGTGAAGACTATTGCAAGAACCAGTTCAGCAAGACTGTCTACAGAGGTTAGAAAAGTGACAGTATTGGCAGAGAACGAGCTTGTGGGACAGCTGTGATCTACAACAAAATAAGTATTCAGTGTCAAAGAAAACTACTTCTCTTGTCTCTTTACAGACTATGACCCATAAAAGTTTAGTGCTTTTTTTTAACAGTATAGTAGCATTTAAGTCACAAAGGAAGTAGCCAGGTTGACCAACATACAATATTGATAGGAAAAGTATTAGTTTGTCAAACTAATGCTTTTCCTAAGTTAAAAATTTAGAGAGCAGGTGAGATTTTGTAGATTAGAAATATAGGAAAGACAAAATACCAGTTTTCACAGAAGTGAGTTTTGGAGAAAAGACAGTTTGTTCAGCATGGGAGTCAGAAGAGTTTATGAAATTGGGAGAAATGCAAAGAATATACTACAAGGAGTGATAAATTCAGTCAATAAACTGAGGATCACAGATGCAGAGGACTGGATGTCAAACAATAGTGAATATACATGCCGCAGTGGTAAAAAAAAAAAAAAAAAAAAAAAAAAAACTTGCAATGTTGATTACTTTTTGTCTAAGTTTTGCTTGCTAGGAGCTTTATATCCTCAGTGTACATAACTGGACCAAGTAAAGATTTATAAAGGTAGCAATAAAAATAAGACATTGTACAAGGCAAAGTAAAGTTGATTAATAAAAACTGTACATAAATAAAACACAAGTGATGCCTGTGTTTTGAAACCTCAATACAACAACTAACAATACTTCGGAAACAATGAGGGGCTCTTGATCTAGGGAATTGTAGCCTGCATTAAGTCTAAATGCCTTCCATGCCCCCCCCCCCCCAAACACAAGCCCTACGTAATCCGTACGAGTTCAGCGTTCCCTGGTAACAATAATACTCAGCACCACCTGTATATTTTCTGACATCTTCCATAATAATGAAAACACCAGAAATCACTGTTTTCAAGCGTCCAGCAATTTTTGGACGTTAAAAGAAACTTTCTAAAAACGAGAAACTCGCATGATGGAACTGTCTGGTTCATCATTACTTCCCAACAACAGTGCAGCCGAGTACATATCAAAACCCCTTTTTTATGGCCTGAAATGGTCCCTTTCTGCCTTTTTCAGCACATATTCTTCATTAGCCTAAAACAAAGTATCCGTGGAGTGATTTTAAGCAATATTGAAAATCTACCCAAAATCTCCTAAAATTGTAAGTGTTTTTTTGGGAGTGAAAAATTTTTTCTCTAGAAATTGGTAACTGCTGTCATAGAACAGTTTGGTTGATCAACTGCTTCCCACTCACCAATGAAGAAAACTCCTGTACTGTATATATAATTTCCATTCAAAGTTGGAAACATTTTGACGAGAACCATGGCCTGAATGATTCATATCTACCTTTTCAGTCAAGATTCTTTATCTGCATAAAACAAGTTACCCATTACCCTTTGACTGTCACAAACCCCTTTCTGAAACTCATTCTATGTCGAAAAATGTTTTGAAAAAAAAAAAAAAAAAAAAAAAAAAAAAATTCTTATGAAATGATAATCTTTTCCCGAAGGTAATGACACCAAAAGTACGAAATTTGATCGAAAACTTACGGAATTACACTCCCGCGAAGTTAGCAATCTCGGCAATATATACGCATCGGCAATTTCGCTGACTTTGAGCCCTATTTTCGGCCAATTCCATTGTTCCAGTCGACCGAATTCATAGCTATTTCTTTAGAACTCCATCCATTTTTTCTATCAACTGAGTACAAGAAACCGCCCATTTACCAATTTCAACTACTCAATAAAGTGGTCAGAAATTGGCAATTTGGCCAATTTCACACAAATTAAAAAAGATGCCAATTTCAAAATAGGGTCCAGAATAAACAATGGCACTAAAATACCATATCCTCTGTTCATTAGTCACGTCTCTAGGCCCCTCTTATATTACTCTTGCTTTCTATTTTTATTCACTGTTATGCAGTCTACTGCATTATTGTAAAAATGGTGTAAATAATATCAATGCACTAGTGAAAGAATATTAGACTCACCAGTTGACATGTATTGGACGTGTGGTGTGATTTGCTTACTCTTGAACATTGGTAAAAATCGAACATTTCCGCTACTTTGAGCTCAATTTCAAGGTCGTTTTCCTTGTGAAACTAATCAAAATCATCTCTATTTCTATAATATATTTACCATTCTATCAAATGAGACCAAGAAAACGAGAATACAACCATAAATACTATATGAAAATACCTCTCAAAGTCGGCATTTTAATCCAAAAACATGGTTGGAGTTTTTTCTCATTATGCAGTGCATGCTGCAGGATTTTTCTTATACAGTGCACACTGACCACACAGACCCATTTTCTCACATGTGGGCCTACCAGCTTTCTCCTGCTTGATTTGAAGCCGCTAGAATTATTGACTCTATATACGTACTAGTATATATACGTCCGAAACACTGGCTCGTAAGGCATATGTATACGGCCAAAACAGTCAAAGGGTTAAGCAATGTTGAAAACCCTCTGAGTTTTCCTAAGCCTATAGTCCAGCATTTTTTTTTTTGGGGGGGGGGGGTGAAAAACTTTTCTCTAGATATTGGAAACTGGCATGACTTGTTTCTCTCGTCAATTACATCCCATAAACGTGAACTGAAAAGGGTAAACAGATCATCTCATACAGGTATTCCCATCAAAACTATTCTAACTTTGAATGGAAGTTATATATGCAGGAGTTTTTGCATTTGTGGGAAGCAAATGATCAACAAAATTGTTCTATGATAACAGTTTCCAATTTGTAAAGAGAAAATTTTGCCCCCCCAAAAAAACACTGAACTATATATAGCCTTATAATTTTAGGAGATTTTGGGTGGATTTTCAGTATTGCTTAAAATCACTCCATGGGTACTCTGTTTTAGGCTAATGAAGAATATGTACTGAAAAAGGCAGAAATAGGCCATTTCAGGCCATACCAAGAGGGCTTTCGTATGTACTCAGCTACACTGCTGTTGGAAAGTACAGTCTATATAATACAAGTTTAATGAGTAACTGCAGTACCTGGTGTATAAGGTGTTTACATTATTCTTTGTAAATCTTTCCAGAAAATATACATTACTGAAACTTCAGGGAATTTGTGCACTCATACTAGGGAGCACAAGCAACCACATTGCTCATGAGATTTATTGTAGCTGTCAGGATCACCTCGTGAAATGGATCAATGCATGAATAGTTATCAAGAAAACTAATCTATGCAATAGGAATTGTTAAGAAGTATTCCTCATAGTATTCACTGATACAACTGCCAAAACAGTGGCAGTTTCAAAATTTATAAAATATTATAAAGAATAACAGACCTCACAACGTGGTGATTTACTGACAACCCTGTTATATCTATGATTTATCTTCCCTTTTAGAACCCTATTGTCAAATATCTGCTTGTACAATGCTACTGTTAAATATCTTTGCTGTTATATTTACGTTCAGTCCTCATCCTTACATCTCACTGTTCACTATACACATCTTTACTATGTTTGGTCATGTACACTGAGGTTTGATGAAGATTTTGGCAAGTGAAATGTTGCCTAAAAATGAAATAAAATTATTGGGAATTTTTATATCTTTCTACTATGTCACTGTGCATGGACCGTTTACTGCCAATGACATGATTAGTGCCTATGACCTATTTTGTCAGCTGGCAAAATAGGTCAAAAGGGGCTAGTCAAACCAATACTATGAGGATGTCAATACACAGTGGGCAGGTATATTTACTACTTTTGTTACCATGCTTCATTATCATGTGATCTTACTTTCTCCACGTCCTGTGTCTGTGATCCTCAATTTCTGGACTCTTAAAATTTTCACTCTTTGCAGTTTATTCTTTCACCTTGGCTATCCTCCCACTAAGATAAACAATGCCTACTCCCATGCTAAAACAAACTTCCCTTTCTCCTAAGTCCATTCTGCAAAAACTTCTGTATATTGCCTTCTCTATACACTCATACCCTGCTCTACATCAGTAATTGGTTCCAAGAGCCATGACGTAACCCAGTTTTTGACCTAATGCCTTAAAATGATGACAATAACCGTAAAACTAGTGTAAATAACTCGCGAAAGAATACATCGCTAAACTTAAAGAACACTAAGGAACACATTTTTGTCATATTATATAAAGAATAATAAACACAATTAAAAACTCTTATTTACCGTGTGATTTGCCCTTAAAAATGACTTAAGTATGAGGGAAAAATACCTTACAATTAGCGTAAACAACTTGCGAAAGAATATAGCTCTCGTTAAGCCATTAAAAAATGCCTTTTAATCATATTTAACTTATCTTCCATGATAACGATATTATGCTTGGAATCACTAGCATTATCCTTCTTAGGACCCATGGTTAACACAGACACAGTAAAGGAATAATTACAGAAATAACAGTGAAAGGCAAAGCCAGCACACGCTCGCTGCATGGGCAAAAATGCATATGGCATCACCCTCGTTCTGACCGAGAACTAGCAGCAACACTGCCACAAACATCTGTTTGCAATTTTTCAATGTAAATAATTTATTGTATACATATATTTTTATATTTTTATTGTATTTTAAATTGTGTAGCTTCTTTTATCTTTTATTGTTAATTTTTGTGTGTTTTATTTACTTTAAATATATTTTTAAGCAAAACTTTATTTATTTCTTGTCCTTTTATCATGACATTGCTGAGTGACGTAATGATATTCACTGAACTGAAATTTACTCTAGAAAAGTGGCATAAAGGCAAATTTAATATATTAAACTTACATTTTCTCAAATTAATACCCATGGCAGTAATCTATGAATGCTTTCAGTACCTACTCCATTTAATGCTCTTATCCTCTCCAATGCATTAATAAAACCGACTGCTCCTATTTTGACAGACTTAAAGAACATTATTATATTAAAAACAAGCAGAAAACTCATATGGGTCATACAATTAAAGAACACAAGAGAAGTGTTCCCCTCTAGGACACTAACAAAGTTATTTGTCATGTTAAGAGATCATAGCCGTCCCATAAGCTGTCCTCTGCCTAAACTATCCTCTTTCTTGGCTTCATGGACACTATCTTGTTGAATTAGCTCTAATATATAGCATTCCACATGTGAATCTTGGTCCCACTTTTATTTCTTACTGTTGATGCCTGTCTCTACCAATATATTGTCAAGTGATCTAATCTTCAGAACACTTGATTTGATCTAACCTTGACCTTCTCACCTCTACTCATGACCTATCTTCTAGGATTTTCTTCGCTTGACCTGTCTTCCAACTTTCACCTCACCACTTAACCTGTTGTTCTTGAAGTTTCATAACCTGACCTATCTTCTGGTTCTCTCCTCATTTTCTTGCTTCATTGTGCCTTGACATTGGATCAGGATTAACCAAAATATCTATTTCCTCTCTCTAGTGTGGATTATTTGTGAAGACTGGCAAAGCTGATACAGAAACGGAGAGAGACTGGTGTGGGGCTGCCATATTAACCTGCAAGTAGAAAATGAGACATTAATAATCTGCACTAACTGATTTTTTTTAGGTCATGTGGAGGGAACAAGTGATAAGGATTTCAAGAAATGGGGGGAGATATGAATAAATGGAGATACTAGTTTGGCAGAGGATGAGCTTGCGGAGCAGCTGTGATCTATGACAACTACCTCTCTTGTGTCTCTTTATAGACTATAACTCAATACAAGTTTAGTACATGTTTTTTTATACAATACAGTAGCATTTAAGTCTCAGAAAGGGAGTAGCCAGGGTGACCAACATACAGTATTGACAGGAAATGTATTAATTTGACAAAGTGTAAGTTTAATATCCAGAGATCAGGTGTTAAGATTTGGTGCATTAGCAATATAGGGAAGACAAAGTACCAGAGTTTTTACAGAAGTGAGCATTGGAGAGAAGACAAGTTTGTTCAGCATGGGAGTCAGAAGAGTTTATGAAACTGGGAGAAAAGCAAAGAATATACTACAAGGAGTGATAAATTCAGTCAATAAACTGAGGATCACAGATGCAGAGGACTGGATGTCAAACAATAGTGAATATACATGCCACAGTGGTAAAAAAAACCTGCAATGTTGATTAATTTTTGGCTAAGTTTTGCTGTATGACCCTTGTGGGTTTAGCATTTAGTTTTGATTGTAATAATAATAATAATAAGCTAAGTTTTGCCCGCCAGGAACTGTATAATAAATCGTCAGTGTACATAACAGGACAGAGTAAAGATCTATGAAGAAAACATATGCACTTAATATGTCCAAGCATAAAGGTAGCAATAAAAATAAGACTAATTGTACAAGGAAATGAAATGAAAACTATACATAAATAAAACATACTTAAGTGATACCTGTGTTTTGAAACCTCAGTACTACGACTAACAATACTTCGAAAATGGTGAGGGGCTCTTGATATAGGGAATTTGATCTGTGATTCAATTCCCCGAGTAAAGCCTGAATGCCTTCCATCCCCCCCCCCTAAACATGTGCTGTATAATCCCTACAAGTGTATTATTATTATAATCGAAAAGAAGCGCTAAACCTACAAGGTCATACAGTGCAGCCTATGGGTGTAGCACTCCCTCATAACAATAATACTCAGCACCTCCTGTATATTTTCTGACATGCTTCATAATGAAAATGCCAGAAATCACTGTTTTCAATTGTCCAGTATTTTTTTTGGATGCTTAAAAAACTTTCTGGCATGATGGAACTGTCTGGTTGATCAGTTACTTCCCACAAACATGTACTGCACTTACCAACAAGAGTGTAGTTGAGTACATACCAAAACCCTCTTGTTATGGCCTGAAATGGCCTATTTATACCTTTCTCCCCTCATGGAAGGTTCCTTGATGTTGGTGAGGGGCTCTTGATTTAGGGAATTGGATCTGTGCTCCAGTTCCCCAAATTAAGCCTGAATGCCTTCCACATCCCCCCTCCCCTGGGCGCTGCATAATCCTACGGGTTTAGCGCTTCCCCTTGATTATAATAATAATAATATACCTTTCTCAATGCATATTCTTCATCAGCCCAAAATAGAGTACCTGTGGAGTGATTTTAAGCAATACTGAATATTTTTTTTATCTAGAAAATGGAAACTGCTGTCATAGAACAGTTTAGTTGATCAACTGCTTTCCACAAATGCAAAAAAACTCCTGCATACTTAACTTCTATTCAAAGTTAGCCCCTCAAGGAAGGTTCCTTGATGTTGGTGAGGGGCTCTTGATTTAGGGAATTGGATCTGTGCTCCAGTTCCCCGAATTAAGCCTGAATGCCTTCCACATCCCCTTCCCCCAGGCGCTGTATAATCCTCCGGGTTTAGCGCTTCCCCCTTGATTATAATAATAATATTCAAAGTTAGAATAGTTTTGACAAGAACCATGGCCTGAGTGATTCTTATCTACCTTTTTAGTCAATATTCTTTATCTGCATTAAGCAAGTTGCCCATGGAGTGATACTAAGCAATACTGAAAACCCTCTTGAGTTTTCCTAAGCCTATAGTCCAGCATTTTTTGGGGGAGTGAAAAACTTTTCTCTAGATATTGAAAACTGGCATGACTGAATTGTTTCTCTCGTCAATTACATCCCATAAACGTGAACTGAAAAGAGTAAACAGATCATCTCGTGCAAGTATTCTCATCAAAACTATTCTAACTTTGAATGGAAGTTATATATGCAGGAGTTTTTGTATTTGTGGGGAGCAAATGATCAACCAAACTGTTCTAAGACAACAGTTTCTAATTTCTAGAGAAAAAAATCTTCACCCCCCCAAAAAAAACACCGAACAAAATTTGTGCACTCATACTAGGGAGCACAAGCAACCACAATGCTCATGAGATTTATTGTAGTTGTCAGGATCACCTCGTGAAATGGAACAATGCATGAATAGTTATCAAGGAAACTAATCTATGCAGTGAACATAAGAACATAAGAACATAAGAAAGGAGGAACACTGCAGGAGGCCTGCTGGCCCATACTAGGCAGGTCCTTTACAATTCATCCCACTAACAAAACATTTACCCAACCCAATTTTCAATGCTACCCAAGAAATAAGCTCTGATGTGAAAGTCCCACTCAATTGTTTAGAATCATTCCTCATAGTATTCTCTGGCACAACTGCCAAAACAGCAGCAGTTTCAACAGTTATAAAATATTATTATGAGGAATAACAGACCCAACAGTGTAGCTCTTCACTTATATATAGGTTCACTTTTATCCATGGTTTCAGGTATCCATGGTAGGTCATGGTACATATCCCCTGCAGATACGGGGGATGGGGGGTTACTGTAAAATTATCATACATAGTGTAAATTACCCACCAGGATAACCCCAAAAAAGTCAAAATGCTTATATTTATTATGGTTCCTAGATATTTCCACCGAGGATAAATCCGAAGGTTCATTCAATAAATTAATATATTGAATCTTAATGCTTACTTTCAGCTCATTTAAAAGGCATCAAAAACTAACTATGCTCACCAATATTTGCTATCATATTTGCAGTCTATACTAGTAACACTCCACTTACTAAATTTATTTTGGTACAGGTACTGTGGTACACATCAGTACAATTATACTACATAGTTTAACATAAAACCCCAACGAAAATAAATCACTTGTACTTTTTTTGGCTGTTGTATAAGTTTATTCAGGTATACACATATATAGTTACATAGATTATCATACATAGCAGCATAATGTACATGTAAAGAACCAGAGATAACCCAAAAAAAGTCAAAGTGACTAATTTCCCTTGGGGTCCTTTTTGTGGCAAGTAATTTACACACGTTATTATTAATGCATCCATGAACGAGTCGTTTTTAGGCAAGTATCAATACTGTGACTTGCTGGGGATCAAACGCTCAGCAATAATGATAATATTATATATACACACAAAACAGCCACGAGGGGGAGTTGAATGATAGCTCTAGCCATTTCGTGTTGCAATCAACACATCATCAGGAGCCTGCAATGGTACCCCGTGGCCTGGTGGCTAAAGTTCTCACTTCACATGGTGATGTCTGGGTTCGATTCCTAACGAGGGTAGACATTGGACATGTTTCCTTACACAGGTTGTCTATGTTCACCCATCAGTAAAATGGGTACCTGGGTGTCAGTGGTGTGGTATGAGTTGCATCCTGGGTATTAATGCACTAGTGTGGGTCGCATCCTGGGTGTTTGTGGACTGGTGTGGGTCGCATCCTGGGTGTTAGTGGACTGGTGTGGGTTGCATCCTGGGTGTTAGTGGATTGGTGTGGGTCGCATCCTGGGTGTTTGTGGACTGGTGTGGATAAGTTTATTCAGGTATACACAAATACAGTTACATAGATTATCATACATAGCAGCATATGTGTACAGAACCTGGGATAACCCAAAAAAGTCAGACAGAGTGACTTACAGTGGACCCCCGGTATTCGATGGCATCGGTATTCGATAAATCTGGTATTCGATGCATTATACTGCAAAAAATTTTCCTCGGTATTCGATACGATTCATACGAGACCTGTCCACATGTGGCCTGAACTGCCCCTTGTGTGCCAGTGTTTACAAGCCAGCCAGTGTGCGCGCATCTAAGGATACATTTGGTACATTCCATATTATCCATATTATCACTGTGTTTGGTGCTTGTTTCTGCAAAATAAGTCACCACGGGCCCCAAGAAAGCTTCTAGTGCCAACCCTGTGGTAAAAAGAGTGAGAATTAGTATGGAAATTAAGAAAGATTTTGAAGGGTTTGGGGCTAACCCTGAGAAGCCTATACCAGTTGTGGAATACATTGTGCCTACTTCAAAAATTAAGGAAATATGTGCACAGTAGGTTGAAGTGCAAACCTTTATGGATGAAAATCACCCTAACACAGCTATTACAATGACAATATTGTGGCCCATTTTAGACAAATCGTAAAGGAACGGGAGGTACAGAGCTCTATGGACAAATTTGTTGTGCGACAGAGGTCCAGTGACTCTCAAGCTGGTCCTAGTGGCATTAAAAGAAGAAGGGAAGTAACCCTGGAAAAGGACTTGCTACCTCAAGTCCTAATGGAAGGGGATTCCCCTTCTAAACACTAACACCTCTCCCCTCCTTCCATCCCATCAATCATCACCAGATCTTCATTAAAGGTAAGTGTCAATTATTTTATTGTTATTGTAATTATTCTGTTGCATTAAACTTAATATTTCATGTAGTAAAATTTTTTTTTTCATACTTTTGGGTGTCTTGCACAGATTAATTTGATTTTCATTATTTCGTATGAGGAAAATTTATTTGGTT